ATTTAAAGTTTATTAATCTTTGAGAATGTGTTGTTGCATTATTATGCCTTTACCATTATATTGCTTGAAAATTGTCTCAAAGCAATAATATTATCGTTTATCACGATAACTTGTGGGAAAATTTATCGTCCAGTAAAATTTGTGAACGTGACAACAAATTTTTCACACTGAAAACCCCCCACTCACTCCCTTTCTGGTTGCCTAGCAACAACCTGTTGAGTGACTTGCACAGCAGCAGTTTCTGGTTCATAACAGCCTGAAAATGAAAAAAAAAAAAAAAAACATTGTGGAGAGAAAACTGTGGATTAAACAGGGAAGGTGATGTCACCAGTTTGGCGGTATTTCAAATATTTAAAACAAAAAACTAATCGATAATTATTGATATCGACTGATTTGAAACACTTATATCATGATACTTTTTTTTAGCCATGTCGTCCAGACATAAAAACCCGCTCAGTCATGATTTGTAAAGTTTTATGGTAAGATCTGTTTGAAAGTTAGTTTGGAGTTAGCCACAAGCTAACAGGTTATCTGCTTTGGCTAGCTACCAAAACAAGACAGCCTCAAAAAAAATCTTATTAGTCTCAACAACAATAATACAATAATCATCATTCTTCTGCAACATGTTGTCTCATTTTTTAAATGATTTTATTGAGGACATAATCTATAAGTACCATTCAATAAATGTTAAAATTGTTTAATTGTATGCAGAAAAACGCACTGCATTAAAAAGTGCGCAGTAAAGTGAAAGCCAGACGCAGAAGGAGGAAGACGAAGACAGAAAAGCCGGATTATACTTTCAAATCAGTAACCACTGAAACCCACATGACCGTCTTACAATGTTAACAATGGGGGTGGTGTGGTGTGTCGTGCCGAGCTGTGACCTTATCTCGTAGTTCCTCCGCCTGTCGAACTTCTTCATGGAGGTTGTAGAGGCGGTTGACCAGATCCTGTCTGTCCTCCAGGGCTTCCTGTCTGTCATGCTCCAAAATGTCGAGGATGGCCTTGTCTGACGCAGGCAAGGGGCCAGGCTGAGAAAAAAAAACACACACACACACACAACAAAGTTGATTTTCTATTTTTTTTTAACAAGGCTTAACTTTTCTTTTTTTTCTTGAGATGTCTGATGAGCAGCAGGATATAAAGTCATTAAAAGCTCAATTATTTCCCCACATACTCTGCATGGCTTCATTCACGTTCGGCTCCAATCAGCTTCAACTGAGCAACAAGCCGCAGGTGGCGACTGCAGTCAAATATTAAACGTGACGTCTGTGTGCGGGCTGATTCTGTGGATCCTAACCGACTCTCGGAGGAGATAAACGCTCCCTACCTGTATGATGGACTGAAGCTCCTGCAGCTTGATCTTGAGCATTTCGTTTTCCCTCTCCAGCTCGAAGATCTGCTCTCTCTTGGGTCGGCTCTCGATGTCGTTCTTCAGCTTGAGACTCTGCCTCCTCTCCATCTTGCACTCCTCCTCCACTTTGTTCAGCGTGTGCTTCAGCTGGTCGATCTGTAAGGCCCAGAGAATCCGACATTTCCTCAAAACGCGCTCACCGACAAACGGAGATCCAAACGCAGTGCAACACATTACAGCCATAAATCTCAGACTGACATCAAGTAATGCCTAATAATGAAGTGGAAGAAAAATGAAGACAAAATCATTGTTTTTAGTTTCCCAGTTTTTTTCTTTTTTTGTTGTTACTAAAAAACTCAAAAGATTTGTAGATTTTATGATTTTTATTCAACAATGCCTTTTTTAGGGCTGAAGTGATTAATCATAATAATTGTGATTAATCGTTTATTGAAATAATCATCAGCAAGTTTAGTAATGGGTTAACCATTATTATGCAGACGTATAGCATTTGCTGGAAGATTATTAACTGAGCCAAAATTGTACAAAAAAAATTTACATTTTGCATTTATGACAGAAAAAAAAACTTCTTTGACTGTGTGTGTTCTACCCTGAAATACTAAAGTGGCCATTTTTGCTTCACCTGGTTCAAACTGTGTAAAAAATAAAAAACTCCTATTGGTCTACTTTTTGCTTTTCAAATATTAACTAAAAAATAATCATCAGATTCGGGCTAATATACTGTATTTTCTGCTGTTGACTTAGCAACAGAACAACCTTCCACAGTGTGGAGCTCCCTACGCTGCACTGATGTTAAGTCAACCAGAAAGAGCCTTTCACATGTTGATGTTAGAAGGTTTTTTTTAATCCTTTGCTGTGAATGATGGAGCGTTCACTAAAGGAATGCTCTTATTGCATTTTAGGTGGTAAAATGTTTATCTTGCTCTTTAAAAAAGGAAATGAATCATTTGCTTATTTGCATTTTGTTACGCATTTCAGTGTATTGTATAAAACAAGCTCATGTAGTTAAGTAATAAATCTGCAGCATGTGTCAATATTTTATCCAATAAACTGACTAACTGTGAAAATAATCACTAGATTGCGTTAAGGCCTCTCTTCTTGCTAATCTTTCACAAAGGGCGGATTTGATGACTGACAGTCGTCCTGTCAGCTGTGAATCTCTGCAGCTCCCCCAGGGTTTCCATGACGACATTTCTATAATTAAACCTCGTTTCCAGCCTGTCTGGTTTAGGGGACTGGCCAGGTCTTAGTAGTTTCCAGAACAGCTGTATTGATGCTAAGATTAAATTGCACACACATAGACTCTTTTTACGAATCAGGTGATTTCTAATCTCCACTGCACCAGATTTCATTTAGGGTCACCAGAGAAAAAGGGGGATTTACACAAATTTCAAAATTAACCCTAAAGGATTTGGGAAAACCACGCATCCTTTTCCATTCACCTCATTGTTATGCACTGCAATTATTGAATAATTAAACAATATTTGTGGCTGTAATGTGCAAAAAGCTGAAGCGGTGCTTTTTTATTTGTGCGAATGCTTTCAGGTGGGGGAACCTCCAGCTGCAGGTCTCGGCTCCTCATCACGGCCATGTTCTTCTCCTCGCTCAGCGTGGCGTACCTCATGGCCAGCTTGTAGTTTTCATCCTTTATCCTCAGCAGCTCGTCGCTGAAGGAGTTCCTCTCCTCTCTCAGTTTGTTATACCCTGGCAAACACAGCAGAAAACTAATTACCATACATGAACAAACGGATTTGCATAAATTAGTTGTTCTTATTAAAGAAGTGTGTGGTTTCATTTATTTATTTTTTTCCCCGTTACAGCCGAGCAGTGAAACCTTAACATAATTTCCTCCAAACTAATTTAGGCTTTCGGCATGTAAATTGTTGGAAAAGTTTGCTTAGCTTAAGCTACAGTGGACTGTTTTGAACCCGGCTAGAAGCTTTCTTGCTGTATTTTTAGATCTTACTTGAAGGTGCCTCAGTGTGCCAGCTGCAGAGGTTAACTGCACAGGATATGATAACAAAGACCACAGTGTCCTACTTTCAGAAGCAGCCCTTTGGTAGGCTAAGTGATTAAAAATCCTTGTTAAGCTAAACTGTGGCGCACCGAGAGAGGTAAACCAAACGCCGGCGGTGGGGTTAGCATTTTCCAGCGCATAAGCCCAGCCGTTTGTGTGAAGGTGTGGGGCTCGTCGGTGGAGGTGAAATGTGATCTATCTTTACTCTGCTGGAAGGCTTGAAGCTCCTGATTAGCCAAGCGCAGCTTCTTGTACTCGTCCTCCAACGTGCGGGTCTTCCTGCTGAGCTCCGTGTTCTGCAGGGTCTTGACCTTGGTGTTCTTCTGCAGTTTCATCACTTCATTCATGAGGAACTGCGTCAAACCCTCCTGGCCCTCCTCGACTAAAGAGGGGCGGCGTAGAAAAAGATAGAGAGGAGAAGTTATTGTGCAATACAATATAGCAGCTTTAAATATGTATATGCAGACACATCTCAGATTCTAACCACAGACAGTAAAGCAAAACCAGGAAGGCGGGTCTGGCTTTGCCTCAACGGAGTGTAAAGCTCTATAGTTGCACGGCTGGTTTTGTTCATATGCGTATACTGTCGCAATTGTTTACCACAAACTTTAACATTGCTCATTAGAAAACAGTGTGCAAGACCAAAAAACAAAGTAGAGCACAAAGCGGTAGATGGATAATCATGCAGGTTTTGTTGTTGTTTTTTTTTTTTTTAACTGCATCTGTTTTTTTTAGAATGGTTGCTTTGCATCAAGAAGATCCTGGGTTCAAATCCCAATCTTGGGTCAGTTTGCATTTTCTCCCCAGTACACGCACTGATTCTCTCTAGGTACCTCCGGCTGCCTCCCACAGTTCAACAACATGGCTGTATCTCTAATTTAAAAAAAAATCAAATTACTAATCTGATGAGTATTTTCCTGTCCCACAGAACGATCAATTATAGTACATTTGAAGAAAAAAAAGGAAAAGAAAAAGCAGAGGAGTTCATCCGTTTCTTGGTACTGCAGCTTGTTTCTATCAGATAAGAAAATGTCAGTCAACCTCTACAAGAAAAATCACCCACAAGCGACTGCATGATTAGGCGCCTTAATCAATCGTTATTCAAATGTAATCTTTCGGGTGATGCTCGAAGAGACATGTGACGAATTTCTACAAATCAGAGCTCAAGCCGTTTTTCTAGAATAGTAAATTTATCTTTGTTTACTTATGAGTCAATCAATTCAAATTCTACGATCTTTATTTTTGATTTTTATTTCACGTCTATGTTTTTGATCATTGGATCGCCACCTTGAATCTCAACTTTGTAAAAATAAACAATCCAAAGACTTCAGTTTTTCTCGCAAAGTGATTGAATCCAGTTTGTTCCAGTAACTCCAGCAACATCAGTGAAGGCTGAGAGAAACTGGTAACAATGTCGGCCATGGGGATGGTTTTACAGATGTCCAGACGCAGCGTTGTCTCTTCCTCAGCTCGGGTGTTTATTGGCTGCAGGCGCTTTTGGGCTGATGCGACTTTATCAGCATAACGGGAAGATGTTTAGGCGAAATCTCCCTACATCGCCGTAACTTACTTTACTAACCCAAACCCTAAAAGTAATGATTTCCCACTCCAAACTAGATGGCTAGCAGAAAGGAGTAATCTGTCTCTTTGTGACCTTAAGTCTGTTATTCTGTTGCAAAGTGCATTATTGTAGCGGTCACATTGTTTATGAGCTGAAACTACAACTTTGTCTCGACTTGCTTTGCTCATCTAGAAACTGAATTTAGAGAGCATTCGTTTTTACACAATAGCTCAGTCGGTCTGTTCCCCAAAACGCAAACTTTTAAGAAATTACGGTTTGGACTTTGAAGGGGGCAGGCGAACACATGAATGAAGTTTGATCTTAACCATCAAATCACAGCTCTGAGGATTAGTATTTACGTAGTGTTACTGCTGGAAGGCATATCGTCTTCAGAAGTGCGTACACCAATCAGGATTTTCACACATTTCCCAACAGCATGCTGTTTTGCAAGGAAGTTAAAAAGATTTTTAAACATTTGGTGTTATATGAACAGAGTAGCTTTCTCTGCTCTGTCTCCTCCAGGACTTGCAATAAGCTTTCAACAAAACCATTAATGTCTTTACGGCCAAGTAAAGGTTACTGGAAATAAATTATAATTTTTCTTACACTTCCATGTTGGTAAATCAAATAAAATCCCAGTAAAATATCAAGATAAAAGTTTATGGCTGGAAAGTGACAGAGTCAAAAAAGGTTCTGAACAAATATAAACATTTGCGTCTCAGATAGGGGAGAACCGATCTCCGATTACTGATCTTCAAAAATCCTGACGTGTCGATACAGATTTTGGCCAATACAATTTATTTATTTATTTTTTTTGTCCAAAATGTTGCTAACGGTAGCAAAAAAGTTGCTCAGTTGGCAACTGCATATCTGCAAACGTGCAGATATGACGTGGTGGGCCGGTCCATCAGCCAAACCTCTCTCACAGGAAAGCAGAAGAGGACAGTGTTTGATTTTTAGACCTTTGCTGAAGCAGGTAAGATCAGAGAATAACATCGGCTTCACATGTAAGTATCAGCCAATCACAGATCTAATGAAATTGGCACCGATAAATCGGTAAACCCCAAGTCTCAAAATGTCCGGGACTCACCGACGATGGTGGAGAATCGTCTCGTTGGGTCTTTCCCTGTGACCGACTTGTACAGTTCAGGGTAGTAAAACTCCAGACTCTCCAGAAACGCCCCATATCCCCGCTCTCCTTTGGTGCGAAGGATGTCCAGCAGGCGACCTAAAGGAAAGTTAAAGAAAGATTTTTTTGTTTTGTTTTGTTTTTTAAGTTCAGCGGATGCAAACACAATGCTCCTGCTCTCTGTTATAAAACAAAAATCAAACAACTGCCTTTAATCTTCATCTACAATCACAGAGTAACGGGGTAATTTTTGTCATTTTTAAATCTACTGCCTGAAGGCAGACCTGATGAGACCTTCATGGCTTTTTTGTGGCCTGTGGAAGATCATAAAAGTTCACTGAAATAACAAAATTTTATAGAGAAACAAAAAACTCAGAGCTTCTGCTTTGCAGCAGACGTCCGATAATAACTTTATGTCTGAAAGCGTATTCATTGTGAGACAGGAAGAAATGTGTAAAAACCTCATGGCTCATTATCTAAGTCACAGGCAGTCACAATTTTCACTAGATTTTTATTCAAAAGCTAGCATTTGGATAAAAAAGTAGACCCTCAAAGGCTTTTATTTCTAAAGTTCAGAGCCAGCAAATGAACATAATTCCACATCCAATCGTAACGTTTCACCATATGGGACTTTTTTCCCTACAAATCATGACATCTCTTTTACTCACTCGTGCGGTTTGCTTTCGCCTGGAGCAGCAGGGAGTTGAGGATCTCGTCCTCGTCCTGCTCGTCCAGCACTTTGCACTGTCGGAGGTACGGGGTGAGCTTCGCTGGAGTGATGTTGCGACACAGCTCGTAGCGCTTGCACTCCACCTTCTCCCACAACGCATCGTTGTCCTCCAGCGTCCCGTTCTCGTCCATCTCTCACGGCCCTGACAAACGGCAAAAACGGACAGGAACAGTTCACTTCGCTGCTTGGCCTGTGACTGTGAGCAGTGGCGGTTCTTGGAAGAATGCTGCCCGAGGCACCCATTGAGACTTACGTCAGAAATCAACCTGAGTAAAAAGTTTCACAAACCGCAAATTGTGCTTTAAACAGTCTTTCATGAAAGGGCTTTAATTTAGGTAAAACGTACTAAGAAGTGTGTGAGAAATAGAGCCACCCTCCACACAGAGTAAAAAAAAAAAAAATCAGCACTAACTATGAGAATGTCGGTTTTTAAAAAGCGAATCATTTGGATTATGTATGCAAATATTCTCCAACGGATGTAATAAGCAAATATTTTCACAAAACAGATTATGTCTGTCATTTTCCTTCATGTTCACATATACTTTCCCATGATGTAATCACTCTTATTTGGTTGTAGAGGTGGTGGTAAAGGAAAACTGAAGCGAGTTTTTAAGATACAGTTTAGATTTTGATCACAGCGCTCCGTCTCATCTACAGCAGCTGCAGGAATCTAATGGGGGCTGTTTCCAATCTACTGACTCAAACCACCTCCTTAATGGACTTCACAATATGCTTATAAATCTAGAGAGACTCAAATGGAATGAAATAAATTGTCCTTGCCACTTTTATCCTTTTTCATCTGACACCACCAGTTAAATCTGATAACCTCCTGCCGAAAACAATTCGATCTGTGTCTCAGCGAAGAACAAGCAGGTCTGTGCTTGGATTAGGTAAGAATATATGAGGAAACCTGCGTAGACTCCACATGCTTAAATACATGGAACACCTTTAAGCAAAGATATCCCACATCAAATAACAGTGGGAAATGTTGGTGACTTTGTAAATCATGCATTTTTCCTTGAAATTGTAAGTTATTATTTAAAATCGGCTGAAACTTCAAATCACCTGAACATACAAATTACTTATCAGTCCATTGCTCCAGTTGTAAATGGCATAACAGAGAAGCACTGCTGCTGAGGGCAGTGTCGGAAAGAACTGGAGCTTCTTAAAGTGACAGAGGCCCAATTTCAGTGTGTTAAATTGCGAAGTCAATTTTTTTTAAGTTAATATTTGATAAATACAGCATTTTTAGGACAAATGAAGGTAACAAGTTATTTTTCCAGTTACTGAAGTAAAATAAATCTGTGGAATGAAATTTTATTTTTAACAGTAACAGCTCAAAGAATAGAGTACATTTTTCTCTATTATTCGTGTTTGTGTGAGAATGACAAACGGAAATCGGGGAAACGGGGGTGGAGTCAGCCAATTCCGATTTTTATTTATTTTTATTTTTTTTATGTAATGCGACCTGTATCCGATTTTTTTCATGACAGTCTGAACAACACAGGTCGGCTTTTTTTCGAATGCGATCCGGATATCCGATACTATCCGATTCAAATGTGACCTGAATCTCAACGGCCAGGTCGCGTTCATCCGACGTTAACGTCACCGATACGCAACAAATGTCCCTATTCTGCGTCCTGATATTCGTCAGCGGGGGAAAGAGAGAGAAAAAAACAACCATGGCGGACGATAGTGAGGATAAAGTTGTTAATATGCTGCTCCGGTCGGACATCAACTTCAAATGTGTAAACTATGCTCCACCGTTAGAGTCGATGTTTACTTCCGCAAACACCGAGCACTTCTTCTTCTTTATGGCGGTTGGCAGAACAATTTGTACGTGTGACGTTATTGCGCCCTCTACTGCGCATGCGGGACACTTTCAGGTCGTTTGCCCGTTCAGATTGGAGAACAAATACAGGTCGTATTTATTTGGAAGTGCGAACGACAACCGCTAAAAAAAAAAAAAATGATTTGACAAAAAAATCGGAATTTGGTCCCTTCAGGCTGCACTGTGAATGCATTATGACCTAGAAGCCCCAATAATTTTAATTAATGGACATTAATGAATGTTTCAGGTGCTGCTACCCCACTGAAGGAACCTGTAGAAAGTCACTAATTTATATGTTCTCTAGACAAGACAAACCATATTTTGTCTTGTCTAATTATTTTCAAAATATTGGAAGTTATAAGAAATTGCTTCTTCTCTACACCTAAATATCAAAAATGTCAAAATACAGAACGCAACAATGTCTCTGAGGCTATGACTTTAAGAGATTCATGTTACCCAGGAAGCTGCTACTTCTGCTAAATTCAGAAAGAGATGAGGAGGCGGCAACAGATGTCTGATAAGATCTTATTTTAAGCGAACTTCATCAAAGACCAGCCTAAATTTATACTCTCTTTAGCGTGGCGTTCCACAGGGTTGTGGCTTTGAACCAATTCCATTCTTTCTTTTAATTCTTTCTGAAGAAAACGTGACAGATAAGACCCAGCTCCATTCATCGATGAACTCTGTGCTGGCTCGCAAACTTCAAAACTTCCATTTGTAACATTGTTCTACGATTTAACCAGGAAAAAAATGATACATTTGGTTCTAGGATCCTTTGAGATTAAGTTCTGATTTTATTCTTATTCTGGATGACATAACATCCAGAATAAGATGTTCTGGATGTTCTCCAGTGTTGCATCAAGTCACCTTGAACTCATCTTTTAAATCTCACATTTAGTAAGTTTGAGTAAAGTTTTTCTAAAATTAGAATTTAAAAAAAAAAACTCTATTTTAGACACAAGGTTGAAAAATAGTGAATGACCAGTCAACTATTTTGACTGGTCATTCACCATTCAAAATAGTTCTGAAAGAGATCGTGCTGTTCCAATTATAACTTCTCTAAATTGGCTTCCTGTGAAATGTAGAACTGATTCTAAGTTTTTTCTTATTGCGTATAGAACCAATATTGGCTCTTCTAGTGCTTTACAAGCCCATAAGGTTTAATGTTTGCTGCCGTATTTTGCTGGAACAAAAATAAAAACAGAGCCTTTAACTTTCCTTCTTCCTGTCAGGTAGAGAAAATGTCTGGATCTGGAGGGATGAGATAAACAACTTGTCTCACAGACTGTTAATGTCTATCTATGAACGTACAGGAGTTGTGGTCGATTCCGCAATGATGCTATGTTGTGTTTGCAACTTTGGGTGGCCAGTTTCTCCAAAATCTCTCAGCATATTGATATATTTGTTCGTTGTGGTGTACCCCGTTCAGTGGAAGTTGTACGCGCTCTTCCGGCACAATTGATACAAAGGTTTCATACCTCAATGTTTGACCATACTTAATTTGCAGCTCAACATCTCGCCAACTACTACGGTCTGATCCAAAATCTTGGTTGAGATGTTGTTATTGGTATATCAATGGGCCGATCAATGAATGAATGAAGTGTGGCATCAGTCAAATCGCTTGTGCAGAATCGACGTGGCCTGTACCACAACTGAGATGGTTAAGAAAATGTGGAGGAACAGCGCAGGATCTGCAAATGGAGATGAATCTGGCTGGGAATGAACTAATGGAAGAGACCTGCAGACCAAATATACAAGGTGAGAAATAGGGTGAGGTCATTAGAGTAAGATTAGTTGTAGTCAAGAGCCCGTGCCCCCAGGACGAGTCAAGACCGAAGTGTACCAACTTAAGAGCAAGACTATGAAGGGGGTTAGAACAGGACCAAACCAGTAATGTAGTTGTTGCTGCAACTTTTTCAGTAAAGTGTTCTCGCATGACATTTAGGTGAAGCCAAGCTTGTATATAAGCTGAATCGGACATGGAAGACTTAACTTCCTTTCTTCATGATGTACGAATTAAAAAAAAAAAAAAAAAAAAAAAATTGGCATATTTACTCTGCTCCTGCTTCACTTATCATCTCATCGCCAGGATGTAGCAACAAGGATGGTAGATGAAAGCCAGAAAGTGAAGTCATTTTTAGTCCAATTTGAATGCAGTCTGCAGTTTCACATTAATTTGCTCTATAAAAAGTATGTTGCAGCTGTGGTCTTGACTATTCTTAGAACAAAAAATAAATAAATAAATAACGAGTCCAGCATGTCCAAAGCCGAGTCAAGGTTGAGTAAAAATGCAAACAGGACCAAAACAAACCAAAACCAAGGCTGATCTGGAGCAGTACAACACTAAGATTGGGGGACTAACAAGGCAGACAGCAAAACCCATGCAACATATATTTTTAACACCTAAAGCTAAACAATGATAGGTGACAGTAAAGTTGAAACCTGACATTTGGGTGTGGAAGGACTCAAACTCTGGCTGCTGATGTGATACTCTGCAGATATAACCACCAGGCAACACATGTGTTTCTGACTAATTTGGAAAGTGTATGCAACAGCTTGACACTAAGCAAAACAAAGATAAAGTGAGAATTTTGTTTCCATTTTTGCGCTGTCAAATTGTCACCTCCGAATTTCCATTGTAACGGTTTTCTATTTGTAGAGTTCAACTTAATTGTTGAGACTGTGGTTGATGCCAGGCGAGGCAGCCCGAGGCAGGATATCACACGGGCTGAGTTGCTGCCAAAAGCAATCCGCAAACAAGCCGACACTGTTGAGTAAAATCTGTTTCGGCTTCACTTTTACACCAGACATCAATCGTGTCACAGTGAAAACAGACAAAAAGGAAGCGAGTCCATGGTGCAACACATTAAGAGTATTGAGAAGAAAAAACTAAATCTGTGGGACTTTACCAGGTTTTAAAATCATTTAATCTAACCTCAAGTGGAGAAAAATGTGTGACACATGCCGGACCAATAAATATTAATTCAACACAGCGTGGAGGACAAGAACGACAGTCCATCAATGTAGTAAAGGAAGTCTTGCCAAGACTTCTGGCAGTTCATCAATGCTGCAATTCATTTATCCACAACTCAAACAGCTGATAGCTTTTCGATTTGGTCGAGGTATTTCAGACATTTGGTTGCAGATATGCTGCCGTCTCTGTACCGGAGGTTATCGTCCAGGTTCTTCCAACCTTTTTACTCTGGAACCGGAACGGATTGCCTCACATTTGAATCTGGAATACGTTTCTACACAGAGGAGTTTATGGTCAACTCAGTAACTGCAAGACGCCTATCTTTACCATTTTATCACCACCATGCTTGTAAACTGGTATCAGTCTCTGATACAACGAGCCGACAGGTAAAGGGGATTCAATGCCTTAAAATATCAGGTCATCCTGGATTAAACTTAGTTTAATGCCACGTTTTATAAATTAGGTCTCATCTAATCCAAAAGACATTGCATTAACCAAGATGCAATCTTGTTCTGCCATATTCTCTTGTGTGATCTGACGCAGGGGAGAAACGTGTCGGATGTCTACTCCTGGCTACCCAGGAGTAGCGACCTTAAATGTTTCCACTCGATTAGTTTCCCACAGAGAGATTGGGATTGTTTGGAAATGGCTTTACAACTCTTCCTGAATTATTTGACAACTTTTCCCAGTTCGCTGCAGATTGCGTTCCTGTTTGGCGTTGTGTTAACACACCTGCATGCTCCAGACCTGCAATCTGCCGATGCCTTCGCTGCTTTACACATGCCGACACTTGCCAATTTTCCATTTCAGATAGTTGAACAACGACAAAGTGACATCTGTTTTTCCACAACTAAGGTTGAATTTAAACGACGTAGAACTGTTGAAGACCGGATAGTTTATTTTTATTAGGTCCTGATATGTAAAACCCAAGGCACAGAAACATGAAGAAACGTGACGCGTAGCTACGCAAACTCAACCTGACACATTTCACCATAAAACATTGTTTTCATGCAGTTTCTTATCCTGCATACTTGTCATTTTTGTACTCCCCTGTTGTCTCCTCACTCCCCCTTGCGTCCCATTGCCCCCACCCTCTTTCAAACATTAACACACACATCAACACCAACACATCGTGCCTGCATCGCAAAGCATTTGCATACCTTCAGGTTTGTAGGTGTCACTCCACAATCCTGCTTTGTGACCTGTAGCCAACAGTTACGCAAATCAAGACTGCCCGATGTCCCAGCACAGGTAAACACACACAATCACACACTCTTCATGGCCTGTGAATGAGCTCCGGCTTGCGCTTTCGTGCCGCATTTGAATGGCACATCCTGGTTTAAACTGGGGTTATGCAACAAACGCCGGAGCAGCGACTAATTGACCCCACGACCCCAGCTCCGCATTGGAAGCCATTGTTTGTAGTTTGCAGCCTTGCATGCGTTGTTGCCTCAAGTCGATGCAGACAGATGACAAAACCGCAAACACTCAGACCAGCAGCACGCAGCCAGATGCAATTCCTGCACAAGCGCAAGTGCACATCAACACATCACAACACAGACCCCCCATAAGTAACCACACATGTTTCCTCTTCTCTGTTCTCCTATTTTGGACTTTGTTACCGAGAAAGCTGATCCTTGCTTCCTCCTTTTCAAACCAGATGTGTGTCGCAGCTCTCTTCCTCTATTCTTATTTAAGCCCGTACACTCAAGCCCTTGTATGTATACAACTGTGTTTTTTTCTTTTTTTCAGGGCAACACACACACACACAATCTAGACCTTTCATTTTTACCCATCTTTTTTTTTGATCAAAGCAACACAGACACATGCAGCAATGCAGACAAGCAACCTGCAAGATGCACTTAGCAAACTCATCGTTTCCACCCTCTTTTTCTCATAACTCGGGTTACTTCAACATCATTTTGCCTTTGAATTTCCAACTCCACCTCGGGTGAATATTGCAAGAGATTTATTTATTTATCTATTTGTGACCCAACAGTTGCAAGTGAAGACTTATGAATTTTTTTTTTTTTTTTTTTTTTTTAAATTTTGGGGAAGTCAGAATAAATCTTCTTTTTACTATGCAAATGAACATATGTGCAAATTTAGGGAGGTGAAAAAAAAGACAAGAGTGATTTTACATGTTTTGCGTCTTTATAATATGCATAATTACTAACTGGCTGTATATTGTTGAGTTTACACAGTTAGCCTTTAGTGAACTCCCTTTGTTAAAGTGAAATGAAAGCAGACTTCAGAGTGCTCAATTCAGATTTTGCCCATCTTTGTTATTGCGAATGTACATGAGTCAGATGCGTTACATGTGACAATATTACTCTAAATGTTGGACAAATTCAACTTTTTCTACAGGCTCCAAGTCGGAAAAACAGCAAAGTGCGCTCGTTTGACTGCGTGGTCTCAAATCAGAGCTACCACATAGGCTAAATTTGCCTTGCTCCACCGCTCTACTAATCCCAGTCACACAGATAATCAGGGAAATTATGAGGCAAAGTCATAATTTCTCAGTTCTGAACACATGAGTTTAATGAGTCTAGCTGTCTTTTATGACGGAGCAACAGCCACTCGTTAGATCCGTTCAAGTTAAAATAGGACTAGAAAACGGGAGCCCAGAACACCTGGTGAACAATGTATTGTCAATATGGACCAATATGACCGTTAAAGAATAAAACAGCAGCGTTATTTATGAAAAGATGTGCATATCATTACCTATCAGATCATTGGGTAACAAGGAATCCCAAGTTACGGTTTACAAATTGCAAACATTTAGCTTTAGATGTCGGAGGATTTGCCTTACTGTGTTCGTGCGGAGCATCGAGAAAAGCACATTTGCCCCTCCCCGACCTGTTGCTGCACACTGCTTGTCATCTGGCTTAAAAGGGGAGGAAAAAAAAGCTACTACACATTTCTCTGGGGTAGAAACATAAAGATTTCCACTCATCTTTACTGTAAACTCAACATTGTTTTAAACTAAAGTTTGTAAGCCGTAAGGCCCGATAATCAGGTAGACATCCCTACAAACTAATTAGCTTAAGGCTAAGTAATCTAATTAATTGTGTTTTAAAGTAAAAACAATAACTAGATTATGTATTGTTATATAAATGTTTAACAGTATTAGAATTAACTAACTTTTTTCCAATTAATTCCTATTTTACACTTTTGTTTTAAATTACTGAACAAACATTATAGCATGATTTTTTTTTTCTTGTATTAATCAATTACTGTACTATGAGTATTTTATTACATACTGACATTAATTTAAATTTTTAGTAGTAGTTTGTTTTTTTTCTGTGTTTTTTTTTTTTTTTTTTTTTTTACAATTTTGGTGAATTTTTGTTTACGTTTGGAATAAAAAGATTTTCACCGGAAAGGTTTTTTTTTTCTTCCTTACTTGGGTTGAACAATATTCTGTTCATCATGTACCAGGAGAACGGAAGATGAAAGATAAAGACGAAATTTAAACAATATTTTTGTATACAGATACAGTTTTCAAACACATAGGTTATAATCTTCAATACTAAGATGGTCTTTTTGCTCGTCTGTCACCGTGTCAGTGTGTTTTTGTTTTTGTTCTCTAACCACATACCCAAAATGATGCCACACAAACGACATGCGAGAGCTGGAGGCTTCCTTAAAAATTTATGAAGCCGTCATTTACCGAGTGCATCAAGACAACGGGGCAACTCAAAACCTACTTCCTTTCAATGAGACAATGAAACACAAATACAGGCTGTAAGCAAACACATTCATAGTAAGAATGTAGACTTACTTTTCCTGATAAAGACAGAGCTCACTTTGACAAGAAACACTGAGGTGTTGCTGTCAAAAACGTGGGAAACAACAGAAGTGAGGATCAAAAAGTTATCAAAATAATTAGGTGGGTTTTTTTATTGTTAGTATTCTTTATGGACCTATTTGTGTCTTTAATAAAGCTGATGATTATATCAATAATATTTGAAAACTCCCCAAGCTGTGTTGATAATTGCTACTTGGAAAAGTTGAAACAACTTTTCCACGGCGGGTTCAATGACAGCATCAATGAATGCTGCTTTCAAAAAGTGATTGAACTCCATCTTTTTGTACACTTTGGCAGCACAGTTGGAGAGATAAACGTAATGGTTATAATGAATTGATGATGAGTGACTAACTTTAAGGCAAGAGGCGCTGCAGCCTGTACACAGAGTCACAGCATGAGTGTCGAATCTGATCATTTTCCACCAAGATTACTTTATCATCCCCACCATGAATACCACAAAACAATCATGATAAAATCACAGGATTTCACATATCTTGCACAGACAAGCCGTCTCTGTAAAATCAATTGAAATACGGATATTTCAATGAAATTGTAATTTCTCCGTATTACAAATGTAAACTAATGAACCTTTGTTTGGAGCACATGTTTCAAACTCAAGGCCCAGGGGCCAAATCTGGCCCGGCGTAGCTCTTTATGTGGCCCTCTAAACTTCAAATTACATCAATAGGTTTTTCCAGTTCTTCACAAATCTGCAAAATTCACACAAAATCAACATTTCTTTCTGATGTTATGGCAAATTTTCTCAAAATTGGTAAAAAAAAAAAAAAAAATTAGGTTAAGTGACAGCTGCCTCAACTTTATTTGATGTCAAGTTATAGTCCATAACTGATACAGAGAGTAATAAAAAGTTATACTTAACATTAGTGCAAATAATATAACAACTCTTTACTAATATTTCTAAATTGGCACCACAAAATCTGTAATTTTGATTGTAAAAAACACTAAATCAGGGAGGAACTGCTAATTATTGATATTTTAACAGTTTAATTGGTTTTATCAATATATCCTGACATAACCAGCCCTTTAAGAACATTCATATTTTTAATAAGGCCCGAAATGAAAATGGGTTTGACAGCCGTTTTAGAGGAAGGTTTTGCTTACTGTGTTTACTTGCGGCATGTGTCAGGAGCTCATACTGGAAGCATATTCTTGCCTGCTTTATTGCATCACCGCACTTCAACACACTGAGGAATTAAAAAAAAAAAAAAGCTAACTACTATAAATGACCAACTTGAATGACATCTGTAACCAAAGCTAAGCAAGTCAATTCCATAAATCCTTTCTTCACACTTTCACTGATTTTATTGCCGCAAAGAAACTCACTCAAGCCTCACGAGTGAATAATTTACACTGTGAACAATTGGCATCTGTTTCGTCTGAGAGCTGTCGAGCAGTTTTGTTCCCCCACTCACTTGTGCGATCAAACATCGAAACCAATCCTACTGCTGGACCTTCCTGTCAATCCCAATCGGAGCCGAACCTCCAGAGCCGCGGGCCCGGGGTTTCTGGGGGTTCGCCATCAGCGCACCGTTCTGGTGCTCTGATGCAGGCAGATATGATTGGTTCAGGTGTACAAATTGTCATAAAGGCTTCATTGTCCAGCCGCAGAGCCGAAGCCTGCAGGAACTTGATACATGTGTTCCTATTGTGTCGACAGAAAGAGCAAAAGGGGGCCAGAGGTTCGGCTCTGACAGCCATTATTTGAAAAAACTGAAATAATTTGCATTAAAACAAACAAAAGAAAAAAAAGAGAAAAAAAAAACAGTGAACAGCAGACAGGTGCCGTGTATACCACAACACAGTTCGGGTTCGATTCTGCAAATATGCGGAAAGGTTTGAAATTATGACCAACATAATGAGCCTCTGATGGATTTTGGAGCATGCACAGACTCCTCTTGGGTTGTGCACACACATTAAAACAGAAAGTAGTGCATACATGTGAACAACTTTCAGTAACTTGAAATAGCCTGCATTTGTACTCAACCCACCTTTTCTCTGATTCCTTCTAAATATAAACAAGTGTAGCCAACTGCTCTCACATGACACCTACTCCCCAAAAAGTGGTTAAATTCAGCATAAATCCACCTGAGTATTGAAGCACAATGAGGTTTGTTAATATCAATAATACTGAGATAAATACAAAGCAGTACAAAAAAGAGAATGGTTTAGGTAAAAGCAGGTGTGTGTGTGTGTGTGTGTGTGTGTGTGTGTGTGTGTGTCAGAATGGCCCAGTCAAAGTCCAGACCTAAATCCAATTGAGCTTAAAAACTGCTGTTTTCTGCCTCTCTCCATCCAATCTGACTGAGCTTGAGACATTTCAGTCTCTTGATATGCAAAACAGATTGAGACGTGAATATAAATGCAACACTTTCCGATTTTGATTGTAAAAATGTTTGAAAATCCATGTATTGTTGTCCAATCTGAGAAAAAAAAACACATTACTTTGCATTGGTCTGCCACTTATCAAATCCAAATATAACACAAAGTAGGTAGAAAGTCAAAATGTCTAAAGGTTCAAGGTATGTGAATACCTTTGCCAGGCAGTGGAAGTCATAGTGCTGCAGATGATTGATTTAACTCATGTGCTTGATTTAGCCCCCTTTCCCCCCACTGCCTCTCTGATTCCCAGGCTTACTGGTTCCCATTATCCGCGGCACCTGCTGCTGGAATCCCAAGCATTTTCATGAGGGCTGATAAAGACTTAGTGATGACAAAGAAACTAAACTCTCTCCTCCGGCTTGAGCCAAGAGCATGTCAGAGGCGAGGGAACAGAGGCAGACTTGGACCTTTCTAGTCCATATAAGCAGATTATAAGCAACTTCGTATCGTTACATGAGGGGAAAACACAGCTCTGCTTTCGACGACACGTTTAGCCTGTGGAGTGAGAGAGAGCCTGTGCGCCTCGGTTCTCCACTCATGACCCCCCCGACTGATGGCATTTAAATTCAGACACGGACACACGTAGAGACCCGCGGGGTCAGCTTTTCTCACCTGAAATGATGATCCAAAGGTCCGCCGGAAATCAAACAGATGTTCTGGTAGTTTCTTGAGAAAGACAACCAAAGAAGCGCGCGCGCTCCGCAGAAAAGAAAAAGAAGAAGAAGAAGAAGGAGGAGGGGAAAAAAAGTTTTTTACGCTCAGGTTGTCTCCATGTATCCGACTCGAGGAGGAGCAGGTGTTAGAATAAAGCCGGTCGGACTCGGCGGCTGTTGAGCCCCGTCTCTCTGAGCCGCAGAGTGAAGTGGAGACAGACCGAAGCGGAGAGAAACTGTCGCCCAGAGAGGCAGACAGAGAGCGGAGGTGGGCGGGTTGAGCTCAGATGGAAATAAGCTCTCTGCTGCTGCTGCTGTGAAAGGAAGAGCTCAACTCCACCGCTGCTGCTGCTGCTGCTGCTGCTGCTGTGATCAGATACGGACAAAGTGGCCAATGACTGCTCACCTCCACCTTTAAAATCAACTGCGAGTCCAATAATAGCTCGTTCTTCTTAATTTCGCCCAACGTGAACTCTCTGTTTACTCCCTCAGCTGCGCCATGTCAACACAAGAAGGAGACTCTTCAGTATTTCCATCAAGCTGCATGCTTTGGTCCCACGGTTTACATCTTCTAAGAGAAACAATGGTTCCAACCAACCACAACCTCACAAAGAATGAGCAATGATCCAATTATAGCCCGCACGGTGCGAGCAAAACAAGCCCCGAGTGTTATTTAGAAGATGGTTGAACTGAATCACTTTCTGAATCGTGACTAAGTCTGCTTTTCACTATCAAAAGATTTTTTTTTTTTATTATTTGAAGAGGCTGGTTTTATTCTGGGTCTAGGTAAACCCCCCTGTAAGATCTAACACACAGTTAATGCCCGTTTCTAGCCTGTAAGTGACGAACAACTCAGCATTAACTTCATCACACCGAGATCCTTATTTATATGCTGCCAACACTAATGTATACGTATCTAGGTATAAATGTGTTTGTATTTTATATTTATCTTTAAGTTTCTCATTTAAAGTGTATATATTTTAGTGTTTTAATTTGTGTACACAAACTTTGCAAATAAAGCTTATTCTGAAATTATTATTTTTGGGATCAGTGGAGTGATTATTAATAGTTAGTATCTTACAAGCAGTCTCTGAACATCCCCAGTTTGGAGAAACAAAGCTCGGTTCTTATAGGAGAGCAGTGGCTGTTTTCCATATGTTTTTCATATGCGGCCCTGCTGACCCGAAGCTATGCGGGCCAGGTGGGTGACATGGAGGCGCCGCCAAACAAAAAAGTAGTCTGTCAGTCTGTCAAATTAGCTTTTTATTGCTTGTTTGCGTCCAGTCACTCCGCGCTGAAGTTTTGGTTTCGGATGTGAACTGAATTAAAGGGATTATTTGTCTGGTCTGTATTTGATCGCTTCCAATTTCAAATATAAATAAAGTGCTTGAACCAGAGCTCCTTTAATCTACTTTCAAAATGAAAATGTCATTTTTAGCATT